CGAGGGAAATGGGGCGGTAGAACGTCTGACAAACGCCAGCAGACAAAGCCTGCAGATAATGGTGTGGCTGTGTGCTGCGAAAAGTGGGAAAGCAAGCCTCAGGGGTGCAACCAGACTCTTGTGCACTGGCAGACCCGAAGATCTTTGCCTTACTTCTTCACTAAGTGCCATGTCTCTGGCTCTTTGAACTGTGGACGGGAAAGCTTGCTGCGGCGCCTTCGGCGGCGCCGCAGTGAAGTAGACGTTGCGGCGCTTCTGGGCCGACGGCAGCTGCCGAAAGTAATGGGGGGCGTATGCAACAGGGAGTGGAATGCCACCTCCTTGCGAAGGAGCTAGGCCAATGTCATCACTTGGATCCCCTCTACGAGGCATCCCTAGTGGCTGTGCAGCCATGGCGTCTGCAAGAATACAGCGAGACAGCAAACGCGCAAAAAAGAAACAACAACGGAATTGAAAGCACAAAAACTTGCACTGTTAGCTGCTGGGCAGAGGCAGCAGCAAGCGTTAGCCCATCCTTTATTCACGCTACTTAAAACTGGCACTTTGAAAGATTCTCCTGCATGACTTGGGACTTGCACTGGGAACTCTCCAGCACGAACTTTCCTCACTTTTTTCGTTAAGTTCGGATGATAGCACCGACCACGCGTGGCAAGCCCTGCAGGTCGCTGCAGAATAATTGGGACCCCCAGATATGGCCCCTTGCTCCTGTGCTGTCTTGAGTTGTTCCTTCAGTGCTTCTACTTCCTTAGCACGGCTTTGGAGTTTTGCACTCAGCACCAAGATCCAGAAAGCTCTGAGCATCGAGGCTTTGTCATTAGTTCTGATTATGCATCATAAACAACAAGGGCTGCAGCCGCACGATGAAGAACACTCCCACCGGAGACCCCAAAACGACTCATAAGAATAACTTGCATAGCCCTATTATGCAGTAAAAAGCTATTTAGGAAGGATTCTCTACTCTGTCCCAATTAACTACTGCACCTAACTTCGTTGCTTGAAAATTAATTTTTGTTTAACTGGAGCTTTGTCGCGCTAACACATGTACATTCTACCAGTAGAACGCACTTAAAAAAGGATGTCACTAGTGCGCATCCAGTAATGATGGTTTCCTTTCTGAGCTCTGCGCTCGACTTGTTAATGGCCTTTTCCATCGTCTGCACGACGGATTCGCTCATGCAGAAGGAGTACATCCTACAGAAAGCAGCAACAGAGGCACACTTGAAATGTCGTTGAAATTAATTCAGTTTCCTGAAGATAAAGAACAACTAAGTGAAATGGGGAAAAATGGCAAGAGTGCTGCGCTGCAGCCTACCGGCGGAAAGCGTAGGCAAGCAGCCTGGTTTGTGCCATGTTGAGGACTGCACAGACAGACTGTAACTTTATCCTTGTGAGCTCCATTTCCAAAGTCCTCACATTGCCTCCTTGGAAAGCGAAAGAACCCATGTTAGCAGGAGACTCCAGCCGCTCCCTCTGCGAAGTCGCTAGACCCATGCTGGGGGTGCCTGCAAAGCCACACAAAGCCAGACACAGCTGAAGCTACTTCATAAGAGCTGCTGTTAATGCAGACACTGCAGCACAGATTTCGACTCCTGCTGCAAGTGAGTCTTCGTTCAGTGGATCTCTCTCGCGGCGTTAGTCATGAAACGCGGTCTGAGTGTCGGAGGCGAGGCGTACCACTCTTTGCGATAGATCCTTCGTAATGCTGATGAGAAGGCCAGTTCCCCTGCAGCAGAGCTCATTTTGTAGAAAGAACGCAGTGATCCTTGCAAAAAAGGTGCACATTTCTTTTGCAAATACGACAGAAGAAGGCTAAGTGTCTGCAGGACAGCTAGCTTTGAATAATACCACCGGCAGAGCAGTGGGGGGCCCAAACGCACTTCATGCTTCCCAACAAGAGCAGCTTCTTGCTGCAATAAGCGGTCTCGGCGGCTTTTTTCAGTGTGGAGTTGCATTTCTTGTATCTATTGCATGCAAAAAACGCAAAGACAATTGCAGAGGAGACCAGATGTAGGCGACTGAAGTAGAAACTGCCTTGTCCCCCAGAAGGACCCGCAGGTTTTCTCATTCGTAACGTCGCAGCCATAGAAAGGAACCCGCATAGCCACTCCTTCTGTCAATTACCTGTGCCTGGAGCCTCTCATTCTCAGCGAGAAGAATAAGTTGCTCTTGTCGCAGCAGCCGTAGGTGGCTGTCCGTGTACGACTGGACTCCACAGGCGAAACCGTGATTGGCACGGAAGACGGCATGGTCAGTGCCAAATGCATTTTCCAGAAATCTGAAAAGAGCTGCGTTCAAAGCAAGAACAACCAGCGACTTGTACGAATTAGTGATGGAGCCGAGTGTCTACTGCAGCCCTGTACACTGCTGGAAGCAGAAGGGTTCTAGAAAGCATTCATTTGAGTTCTGAGTCCGCGATGTTGTTTGCTTGTCACCCACCTTCTCGCTTCACTGAAACTAGAACACTGTTATTTGTGTACAGCTGCGCCATGTACTGCAGCGCCCTGCCCTTGCGAAGAGCCTTGAATGTCAGCTTCCTCGCCTCAACGAGCGGTAGCGAAGTCTCTTGCAGAAGCTGGAGTTCATCTGACGTGCTCTAGAGGCAGAAGCACAAAAGATTCCACAAAGACAACGCCCAAGTTGTGAAAACTATCGCATACAGGCTCGCGTAGGGCACTATGGAGCGAGCCAATGCTAGGACAATGCACTTGACAAGTTCACCCTCACATCTTGTTCAAGAATGCCCCCACAGGCTCCCTATAAAGTGGTTATGAGGGGCCCAGCCAAATCGCGTCTCACAATCCACTTCGATTTACCTTCAGCTGCGCCTTAAGCTTCTTTGTGTCCGTCTCATACATGCTCATCAAGCTCGCCTTCTCCTCCTGACGCGCGCGCTCGCTCTCCAAGAGCTGCTGCTTCAGATTAGTTACTTGCTCGACATAATTCTTAACTTCTTCCTCATGCTGTTTCATCTGTGCGTTGGTTCTGCGCTCGAAGCGCCGGAGCCGCTTAATCTCTTCTGCTGCCTCCGTCAGCGTGAGACGCACTACGCGTTTCTTTGCTGCAGGAACAGAGAAGTTCAAAAACAAGAAAACAGGTCAAGCAGCCCAGCAGCACTGCGGAGTCCCGCCGGCGCCGCTGTTTCTTAACTCTTACAAAGACCTGCAGAGCAGCCGCGGTGGAAACTTGAATAGAACTATCAGGGCAGTTTGCGTCTACGAAACAGAGGCAGCTCACGCTCGGTTGGGCTATCCCCCGCTGCAGCACAGAATCGCAAAAAAGACGAAAAAGAAAAACAATAAAAAAGTGTCAAGCTGCCGCATTCTGTTCCGCAAGGCTTGCTGTGGTGGATCTCACTAGACTGCAGCCCGTAGAAACCTCTTTGAATAGCTACTAGGGATCAAACTGAATGCATTCATCACTCACGAGAGAAACCGCCATTTTTGTCGGGCTCCGCATTTGACCCTATTTTCTGGGCGCCTGAATTCGAGCCACCTGAAGGCACAAGCAGCAATTCACTGCGAGGCTTTAAGCAGAAGAACACGGAAAGTGAGTACTATTCTCCAAACCTGTGTCAGATAGGGAAAATGCGTGTAAGAATATTGAAATATTCCTCCCATGACAGTGAAATTCCTGCAAAGGCCGGCAGCAGTTGACTGGCACGGGCATTCTCACCTCTTTGAGACGGCGCTCGCTGAAACCTTTCATCTGTGCTGTCATTTCCGTCATCTCCGGGATCTTTGGAGCTTCCGGCTGCTCTTGGCTTTGAGCCTATCGCTCGCATTCTCGAGGCGGAAGCAGACCTGGACGGGGAGCCCCGTCCGACGGAGCTTTCTCTCGAAGACGCGTTTCTTGGGGAAGAGTTCGCCATCGTGTGAAGAGGAAAGCCCGCTGGAGTGTGCCCTCAACTCGTTTCAACTGCTGAGACTCTGAGTCCTTGACAGCTGCTGTAGCTCCAAGGTTCAAGTTGTTTCAAAGCAATGCTCTTAAATGCTCAGACGGGGAGCTTTCACAGTGGTCTGAACAGACAAGCCCGCGGGTTGCCCGTCCATGGTAAAATTGCGGAGGCTCTCGAAGCGCGAGAGAAGTATGCTACCTTTAACTTTGGAAAAAATACATATTTCATCAAATATACGGGGACAAAGCGTGTCTGGCGGCCTTTATGGTGGGGCTTCACCGCAGCCGACGCAACAAACTTGCGCCAGAGCAGCTGCCGAGACTGTAGTGAGCGCGGCCTCCCTTACAAGTGTTTCTTTTCTCGCTACATTGGTACATTCACATCAAATTAAGACAAATATTCCCAAATAAACTCTCTTGAGCATGATGATTCCAGTGTGTCTGCTTTTTTCCCGCGGCTTCCCCGAGGCCTGTCTTGGTGTGTGTGTCCTGGCAAGCTGCGCCGGTGACACTGCCATTTCCAATCCCTGGCCTTCTAGCGGAACAGCCTAAGCTAAGTTTGTAGCAAGGGCCAGGTTTTCCTAGTTATATCCTCTCTAGTTAGGCTTCATATGCAGAATAGCAAATGTTCCAGCACCGTACGCTTATGCCAGTGCAGCCTTGTAGTGCTATAGAGACTAGTGCTGAGCTCTTGAGCTTTAATGCCCAATTGTTGTTCGAAATTCAACCATCACTAGTATTCTGCTTAAAATGCTCGTTCAAAAACACCTAAACCGCCTCCAGCGTACTTCATTATCGACCACACTCACAGGTGTACACAGTGGCTCCCGTCATTAGCGAGTTTCCTCTGCTCATTTTGCCGCTGGAAATGCCAGCCATGCGGCAAAAGGCGAAATTAATGCAGCTGTAGTTGAGTTGGTTTCAAACCACAAGACCTGTGGGGCAAACCCTGGGGAAAGTGACACGAGTACACTGTGCTCATGAGACAAAAGGCTGTTGCATTGCGTTCACAGGGCCTGCTGCATTAGCATTTTGAAATCAAATTTCTGAGTAACGGAAGAAATCCATTTGCGCGGTACAGCGCCGCTCGTGAGCCGTGAACTTTGTCAGGGGCCACGCTCCGCAAGCTTCTGCTGCTGAAGGTCCCACGAGACAAACAACGCGTGTTCAAGAGCTCCCAACGCTCGCCTAAGCCTGAAAGCCCAAAGCACGAAGGACTGGCATTTTGTGCAACAGCAGCAGCAGCAGCAGCGGCAGCAGCTGAGTTATGGCAGTAACAGCCCCGTAGCCACGGGCTTAAAGATTCCCTTTGACACGGGAACCAAGACTTGGAAAGAATCTTTAAATTAAACAGGAAGAAATAAATATAAAAGATCAACTTGCCTAGCCTCTTTGGCGTCTGCTGTAACAGGCAGATCTCCGTAAACTACCAACCCCCCGCAGTCTTGAAGCGCCGCCAGAAGTGCTGCGTCTTCCACAGCGGAGTCCGAAGAAAGGGCGTCGGCCCAGAAGTCGGGCACCTGCGTTTTGCACGAAGAACAGCACCACCTTTTGCAAAGAATCTGAAGTGCTGTGTGCGCCTAGGTCGAAAAGCTAGCTACGGCGCGGCAAACCCGCAAAAGTTGAACAGAAATGCCAAAAATGATACAAGAGATTATCACCTCCACAAGTCCATGAGCTGAATCTGCAGGAACGCGACGAGCCTCAGCCCAGCAGCTCGAGATCCACTCCGGGGCCACAGCCAGCGGCCAGCTTTCAGCAAGTGCTGCAGGATTCCGCGGAGTCGAGAGAGCGGCCCCATCAGCTGCTGCTAAGTTGAATGCAGCTTTTGCTGCTTCTTCCCAGAGCTGCTGAGCCTCCTTGGCAGCCGCAGGCGGCAGCTGCTGCAGAACTCGCTGCTGTGCGCCCGACAGCAACATCGCTATCCTCTGCTGCTGCTGCTGCTGCGAAGGCGGCGCCTGCTGCCGCCGCGAACTCCGGCTGCTGGAGGCCTTCCCAGTATCTCTTCGTTGCTGCTGACTTAGAGCCATCCCTTCAAGGGCTTCTGCAGCAACAGCAGCCAAGTCGAGAAGCCCCGACAAGTCTTCTCGCTTGACCACAAACAGCACTGACGGAAAGCCTAACACATTCCTTTTCTTTGCGTCTTGAGCTCGACTTAGCTGAAAACACCCACCCAGGAATAGAGGAACAGTGTCCTCGGTAAGCCAGCAGCTCAAGCAACGAATGAATGGGAAAAAGCTCCTGCATGCTGCTGCAGCAACAGCTGCTGCAGCAGAGCTGCTCAAGTAGCAAGGCAGCGGCAGCAGCAGCAGTTTACACTGCACAAAACCGCGGTAAAGAACCACTGCTGCGCTAACCAATTCCTGACTGCTACGCTGCTCACCGCAGAACTGACAAGCTGCACCCGTTTGCTGCAGCCACAAAGTGCTGCAGCGAGTTCTCGGGTTGCGGGGCAGTTAAAAAGCCACGGGCAAATGCCCAAGAGAGAAGGGATAGTTGTGAAATCTGTACATCCCAATTCTTCAATGAGCTGCAGCGAGAAAGATACCGCCCACACGCGCAACTGGCAGCGAGTTTCCAGCTAATGTCTACCAGGTTGCCTTGCTGAAGCAGCACCGGTCAATTTGTGTGCAGATCGTCCACTCTTTCTCAAATATATCATCTTCCTTTTTTAATCTCTTAGTGAGATCCTCAACAGTTTCAACTTAGAGTGAATCCTTTGCAGATCGCGCCGCTGCAGCGCCTGGCCACTGGCACTCACCTGCAGCAAGTTCGGGTCTCGCGCCACTTGGCAGTCGGACACGAGGACTTGCACGCCGTGCAGCACTTGCTGCCTCCGCGCTGCAGCAGCAGCTGCTGCTGCTGGGGGCGCAGCAACTTGCTGCAGAGGCACAGGGTAAAGCTCGCACGGCGGCGCCCGCCCCTGCGCGGCAGCCACAGCAGGCAGGGGAAGCAGCACTGAGGGGCGTTTGCTGCTGCCCTGTCTTCCGGAATCCCGAGCAGCCTGGCGAAGAGGCAAAGAAGCAGCTGCTGCAGCTGCTGCAGCTGCTGCAGCTGCAGCTGCTGCAGCAAAGTGCCCAGATCCCTGCAGGGTTTCGCCTTACGAAGCGGTAAGCATCAAAGAGCCACTCGAGACGCACACAGGGAACACCAAGTTGCTGCAGCTGCAGCAACAAAGCCAATTCAGCTGCAGCACCGAGCCTTCGCTTGCGGCGCTGCGGGAGCCCACTAGCTGCTCTGCTGCTGCGGGCGGCGGGCAGCAGCAGCCCGTCCTTATCTGAAACTGCTGCTGCAGCTTTTTTCTGGAGCCAGGGGAGGTTTCCCACGACGACAACTTCAACTCCCAGTTCCTCCGTCGCTGCTGCTGCTACTGTTGCTGCTGCTGCAGAAGCAGCTCCAGCTGCCGGCGCTGCAGCCTGTGCTGCCGCGGCCTCCAAGGCTGCAGCCACTGCTGCTGCAGCCAAGCAGCAGCCACCCAGACCCTCCACACAAGCAGCAGCCATTTCCCAGTCAAGGCCCGACAAGGCCCGCCCCAGCCCCCCCTCGCTTTCTGCTGCTACTGCTGCTGCACCGCAGCTGCTGCTGCTGTCTTCAGAATCTGAAGCCAAGACGCTGTAGGTGAGGCCGCGGGCTCGCCGCACCCGCCGCAGCTTCCGCGTGCACCCCAGCAGCAGCACGCGCTGCCCGCGCACCGGCTGCTGCTGCTGCTGCTGCTGCGACTGCTGCGGCTGCTGCTGCTGCTGCTGCGGCTGCAGCAGCAGGGGAGGGTGGGACGGCGTGAGAGCTGCTGAGGCGCGGAATAGCGCGTGGGCTTCTGGGGTGTACAGACGCCCATCCCGGAGACAGGCAAAAAGCCAAAATGGGCTCAGCAGCCGCAAAGGCTCCAGCTGCAGCGCCTCCAAAAGCTGCTGCTGCTGCTGCTGCAGTGCTGCGCATGCAAGCCTCCCCGGCGCCCCGGGAGCCAGCCTGCTGAGCTGGGCAAATGCAGCAGCAAAGTTGCACACCAGAAACCCCGCCGCTGCAATCCCCTCCCTCGTTGCTTCCAGCACTCGAGCCCCCGCCTGAACAGCAGCAACGCGTATGCGCAGCAGCAGCTTCCACTGCTGCTTCCCGCTGCAGCAGCACGGAGCAGCAGCAGCAGCAGCAACTCCGGCAGCGCAGCAGAATAAGGGCCAAAGAGGTGACCTCGGCAGCCACCTGAACCTGCCCTATGCAATTAAACTTTTGAATCTCTAAATAAATAAAGAAGTCACTTTCTTCTTTTGCTGTGCTGCTTACTCACCGCCGTTGCTGCTGTTTGCATCACTTGGAGGAGAGCGTCTGCTGCAGCAGCATCTGCAGAGGCTCCTGCGGGGGCGGCTGCGCCGTCTTCCTCCCCGTCACACTGCGCTGCAGCAGCTGCAGCAGCAGCAGCTGCTGCTGCTGCTGCTGCTGTCTGCAGACTCTCCGCGTCGAATCCCAGGAAGCAAATACTGAGGCCCCCGAAGAGCGCTCGTTCTCCCCGGGCCGACCAGGGGGCCCCCTGGGCTGCTGGCAGCGCCGAAACGGAAGTCTTCATGGCCTTTATTTTGCAGCTCCAGAGTTTTTAAATTTTGTTTAGTGAAGCTGCCAATGAGGCATTTGCGGCTGCCGAGGCCAGCGCCGAAGACTCCTCGCTTGCAAGGAGTCGCAGCACGGGCCAGCAGACCAACTTAAGAGAACATCGCCCGCTGTTGAGCGCTACTAAATGGGATTATTCTTCATAATTTTAGGCCCAAAGGATAAAATGAAGGCTGTGGGAGAAGCAGTGCATGCACACCGCGCTGCAGACAGAACGCGCCCTGAACAAGCCGCAACTGAGCGGAACAGCCTGGGGCCCCACAACGTGACTCGTCCCCAGACTATAACTACAGATCAACTATGAAAGAAAGGTATCCTACAGAATTTCAAGAAGTTAAATGCTTTTTGAGGGGCGCATGCATGGGACAAAGACACTGGCGTAGGGGCAGTCGTCCACTGGCCCATGGCCGCCAGCCTCTCTGGCAGTGCTGCGCACTGCAGCACTGCAGTCTGCAAGTAGAGCAATATTGCTTCATTTTGGTGGCCATGAGGATGGCAAGAGCTCCTAAAAAGCTGGGGAAGTGGCAACACATCGCTAGCTCGGCCGCGCGTTTGGGGGCAGGTAGCCGTTCAGTCAGCGGTAAGGGATCCCAACTCCTTAGTTTACTGCATTATTCCACTCAATTGCCTATTTAGCTGCTCTATGGGTATGATATGGGCCATTGTCTACGCAGATCTGGTGCTGGGCTAGTTAACAATGCTGGGACATTGTGAGCTCAGTAACAGGATATTTCCGAGTTTGCAGCAAATCTGAAAAAGCGGCATGGGCATATAAACGCAACAGTAAGACGCACAGGAACTCTGCAGCTACGCAGAGGACGAGTTGTAGCTGCGCACGGAGCTCCCTCCTCGCCGAACACCCCGGCAAGTTCCTACAAGGCACATGATGCGCAATATACAAATTCCATGCCTTATAAAAGTAGCGCATTAGACGCATTAGTGAAGGAAGGTGGCTACATCCACTCAATTTAGGACCTGGCAGCTGAAGTAGATCGGCTGTGCCCCAGGTTTTTGAGAATGGAGCATTAAAAGGAGCGCTTAGAGCGCAGTGACGGAGTAAATTTCCTGTACTGGAAGGAAGAAACTGCCACTTTCAGAAACAAAGGAAACTAGCATAGATCAAGGAAATGAGAGGCTTTAAACTACACTAAGCTCTGAGATCCCCACGGCTCTGTAGCGGAGGGTAGGTAAGTGGAACCCCGCCTTAGTCATGCTCTTCTCCGCCTCTTGAGTATACCAGCCGCCTGAGAGACCGACCCGCTGTTACGACTATGCTGGCTAACTTATATGCCTAAAAGATTGGATCGTTTGCATCTTTTATTTATGTCCCATACTTCAACTAGGCACACCTCTGGCTGAGGCTGCCAGAAGTACAGTACTACGTCGGAGTGTCTTGGAAGCATTCACACGGAACGCCGGAAGAGGACGGCGCAGCCGTCCTCTTCCGGCGTTCTCGCTGTCATCTAAAATATACGCTTAAGTGCAATAGAGATTTTCCCCAAAAATCACGGGTTTGAATTGTGCTACACGGCACAGAGTCTCATCACACAGCCTAGATCACCTGGTGCCAACCACCATCAACACTCGCTTCTGCTAGTTTTACTGCGTGTAGATCTGAACAATATCGCGTACAACTACATGGACACAGTCACGTACACAGAAGCTCTGTATCGTTGGTCAATAGCACCCACCTACACTACTTTTTCAATTATCACTGAATCTCAGGCCTGTGCGTAAGGCCACAGTCCCTCATTGCGGTGAATTTTCTTCCCTTGTAGGGCATCGCTTTTAACCGAAAAATTACGCCTACTCTTCTTACCACATTCCTTGCATCAGGAAGAAGGTGGCTTCGTACCGGAATGCTCGTCTTGGTTTGCTTGTTGTAGACGGAAAAAAGGTATAGCTGTGGATTTCCCTTGTTCTTCCCCTGGCGGAAGCCGGAATCACACAGAATGACTCGTTGTCAACATGGCAAGAAGAAGTTGCATCCCTCATATGGCAACCTGCGAGACACGTCTTGTGGAGTGTGGTATCCATGTGACGGAGGCGGGAAGATTTTCGTAGACGGCCCAGGTCGATGAGGGGCTTGCTGCTGCCACATTAATGACGGCACGTTATCTCCTGCTATCCTAGCATAGCTCGCGTTTGTGCACCTTCATGCAGCCTTAGAGGGATCTGCATCCTGGGGCTGGCTCGTGTGTGAACAAGCTAGAAGCAAGTGACAGTGGACGCTTTTACAGTTGACCACTCGGGTTAAGGGCTAGCGCGCTGAGACATGAGAACCGTGTAGTGAAGACATAAAATTGTACGGATTATTGTTTTCGGTATAATTCCTTCTTCGCCTCCGTAGACAGATTTTGCTGTCAGTTGTGTAGTAAGAATTTGAAGCCACCCTAGTCAGCAGTTCATGTCGGGAAACCATCGTAGCTGCAAGCTAAGCAACTATCCTTCTAAGATTTCCCGCCTACATATAGCTTGCTAAGAGAAAGTTGGTTCGTACGAAAATCCCAAGTTACTTTTTTTCCTTCACAAATCGCTACGCGGGAATCTTAATCTGCCTGATTTTCACATTTACCAATATACTGCCTCCTATGCCCCAGAGCACATTTTACCCCAATACAGGTATGTTTCCGTTCGTAGTCGTTCCAGCAGAAGCGACAGAAGGTGAAGGGCAACAAGCATCCCTGAGCACTGATCTTATTGCTCCAGTGGCAGTCAACTCTAGCCTTTTAACTACCTCCTTGCATTCCGCTCAGAACGGCTCGCTATGAAAAGCAATGATGATATTTAACACTGCAGCGAACTGCTTCCATAAATAAAAGCTAACTTTTCTTTTAGGCCCTCCTCTAGGCACTTCTTTCGGGATTAATGACGAAACATACCGTCGAGCTGGGGCCACATCTCACGTCTCGCCACTGGCCTCTCGATCCGCCCAGCTTCATTCCCACTTCCAGAGCTGCTTAACGCTTTCTCCTGAGATTTATGCTGCAATTTTTTGGGTCTTACTCTCGCTTGTAAAGGATGTAATACAGAGGTAACAGCTCCTCGGTGCCTCTTACTTCCAGCTAGATAGGAGTTTTAGTCCTTTGCGTTTAGTTTAAACGCTGACCAGGCTTGGAATGTAACAGCACTTGTGGATTGTGATATGCCATAAAGTAAGTTAGTCAGGCTGCGTTTCACCTTTGGACCCGGTTTGCTTCTGCTGGATGCATTCCTGCCTTACATCGAAAGGACCACTAGCATTCGCCCAACTGTAGCGAAATGAAGTTGTGCGGCTCATTGCCCATAATTTGCAAACTGCCCCGGGTGTAACTGGAAGTCTTTCTGCCTGATATCCCTACCAGTATGCTCTACGATGATTTCGACTTCTTCGTAGACTACACTGTATGTTTTTCTTGTGGTACTAGAGGTCCTTCTTTATTAGTCACCCTTTTGTCGGCTTTGCATTATCACATTTTAGTTTATTTACTTGCAGAGGTTTTTATCCTCTATTTATGTTTAATTTTACTTTTTCCGTTATATTTTATTTGGTGATGTTATTCTTTTCCCTGCTCCGTTCGACTGGATACCAGCATCTATCATGCAGAAATTGTGTCCCACTTATAGAGGTGATGCGGCTGTTCGCTTCTCCCACTGCGGCTTTCGAACTGAGGCTGCCGGCCAAACTGTGCTCAAGGAATTCTTTAGGAATATAACGAAAGTTTCGCAGTGACTACGAGGGTACGGGGAAGAAATGAAAGCTAGATAAGCAACTAGAGGGCCGTGGTGTGCGGACAGATTGGCAGAAGGCAGGGCATAGAAGTTACGGCGATGGTAGGCGGGGAGTGATGTGGTATCTGCCCGTTCGTGATGGTTGCATGGTTGCTACCATAGGCCTGACTAAAGACAAAGTCCTCTCTAATTTCAGGAAAGACGGGGTAGTGAATGAGACGGTGAAGGATACGCACAGTGTCGGCTCCTGCTAGCACTCATGGCTGGAATGACTGAACCATTTTCCTCAGCAAAACAACAAGAACTAAAAGTTGAAGAATACACAAAGGCTGTAAGAGTCACAATACTAATAAACTCCATGATGGCCTGACTCTAGTATTGAGAGGCAATGAGCAGCGGTTTGAGAAGGCTGGTAAGCTCCTGAGAGAGCAAGACAGTAAAGAAAAGGCTCTACTCATATCGTAGTATAGGAGCACCTCCCTGGCCAATGGTGTTATTTGCTGAAGACGAGAAACAGTTTCTTGCCGACAGTGCCCATTGTCGTATCATCGTAGTGATTGTAATTAAAGTATGCGAGGAATTCATGGAACTTCGTATTGCAAAGTTTCTACATGCAGTCAATACAAGTGTTTTAAAGAGCTTGCCAACGTTTGGTCATGAACGACAACGACGCGAGCGGGCCTAAGCGACTGACTAAAACCAACAGGGGGTTAGATGATTGGCGAAACGGTACGGCATTTATCGTGGCGAGACAATGGAAGCTCCACATGATTACTTGTGGCTCGCAAGTATGTGATGATGAGCTGCTAAAACCATGCTGCAAATTCAAGCTAACAAGGACTGCGAACAGGACGAAGTCTACACGGTTTTCACTGCAGTTAGGTTGGTAACATCTCGATGGTTAGTGTACGGCGAGTACATGGGACCATTTTTAAAGAGCAGTGGCGGAGGCGGGAAACTCTCGGTCAATAGTTGAATAATGAAGCTAACTCAGGCTCGTGACCTGACTAAGGAAGACAAAAGCCATTTAATTCGGGGTCCGCCCAGCTGGACGACCTTCCACTCGAAGTTTGGGCACGGCTGACCCTTTAAACAGCTATTGAACTCTCGCCGCAGAACTATACAATCTGTGATGAGGTTGCAGCTGAAATGCACGCATCATCGTAATGCTGTGCGGAACACATTTCCACTCACTGCAGGAGTTAACTCCTCGTCGTCGCCTTATTTGGGCGACTGGAAAGGTACACATTTCAAGCTTGCATCGTTTCTGACGCACCCCTTGTCTGGCTGCGGGCAACTGCAAGCCAGCGCGATACGAGACGGCGTCTTTATCCTTCCTATTTTGTTTTACCGAGCTACTGCTGTTTGCTCCGGCAGCCCATCAAGACAAACAAGAACAGACCAAAAAGCCATACACGCCACCAGAAGTCGACAGGAACTCAGGGGGCACTCTCTAAGAACTTCATGCAGAATTGTCCCAAATACGCAACGACAACCCGCCGAAAAGTTCCTGCATGATCACTTGCTGGAAGCACTAATCGAGAAAGAATTTCGCGGGGCTCCACGTTGAGGAGTTGTTTCGGAAATTAAACATGGGGCATCTTGCACCGTAAACCAGAGTCATAATGTTAGATTTAACAGTTGACGAAGTACATGTGTGAACTCGCATAGGCCGCATAGATCGACGCAATGCACTTCGCTCCACTAGCTACCGCCAGGAGTTCGCGGTGGCAGAAACTCCGTTCCTGCTTCCCGTTCCTTGTACTCAAAATTCCTTTAGGCCCCTTGTTGCTACTTAACTACTAGCCCACGGATAAAGATAGTGCTTCAAGAGGCCCCACTCGTGCGCAACTGCTGCGTGGAAATGAGCCCTCACATCCGGTCTGGTGGAGAAAACACCCGCTCTCCCGCCGCAGGGTTGGTTCTGATAACTTAAGGAACTATCCGTATTCTCTAAAGCTATAAATTATCTTTCTAAATGATCCTAACCCTGAAACTGGCAGGAAAGTCGTTCACCTCACCGGAAAGCTTACCGTCCATCCGTCACCCGCAGCGCCAAAGCAGATCCCGAGGCCTTGCGAACTGGAAGTTAATGGAAATCCCCATTTACCCACCAAAGTGCATGCATGCACGTTAGTGTACAGCACCTCACCCTCCAGGAACCTGTTTAACTAGCCGCATGGACCAAGGAAGCCGCAGCTCCGCCCAATCTGGCCACCGGGGGCTTACGGTGCTGCAGCTTGCAAGAGCCCCCCAAACGGCTCCGCTTCAGAAGAATCCTGGGCAACGCACAGCTGCATGTGGGAGCCACTTCATTAAGGGCCAGATATCAGGATGATCGATGACTTGAGCGCTCGCGAGCGAGAACCCGCTTTCGCCCCGCTTGCCCAGGGCGAGCTCGCGCCTCACTTGCTAGAGGCTGTCTTAAAAAAGCGATTCTTTTATCAACAGCAGAGGGAATTTGTGTGGCTGAACAGAAGAAAATAGGGCTAGATTGAGAGAGAAGGATTTACGCCGCTCTTCCCATTTCGCTAGTTGGCGAGATCTTTAGAACTAGCTGCCAGTGCCCCTTCGGGCTAATGGCCGCGTCATAGCCCAGCTCCCCAGGCTCAACGCAGGCTCTTGACTCCACCTCTTTTGCCGCACCGGCAGATATTGTTGAGGTAACTCACGAGAGGGCCACTCCAGACGACAGTCCAGCAGACTCCCCTGCGGCCCCCTCACGCCCCTTCTGCCCCACTGCTCTCGCTGCAGCTTCCTGCTGCTGCGGAGGACTTCGGCCCACCAGGCAATCAAAGCCAGAGCATCTGTACTACGCAGAAGTCCGCAATTCTGGCAGAAGCTCTATTTCCTCCGGCGCCCTCTCCGCGCCCCAGCCACCCAGGGCCTCGCGGGGGCACCCCCAAAGGAGTCCTAGCCAGCGCCTGAAATTCTCTCAGCCAGGAAAAGAAAAACTAAGATATTCAGAGGCAAGCAAATCTCAGGGGTTACTGCGCCTCTCCCCCCGCCAGCCCCACGACCCTGTGGGAGGCACGGAGGGGGGCCCCAGCTGACACACTGCGAAGAAGTACATGGGGGGCCCCTACATCCTTCTGCTGCAGAAAATGGGAAATGAGGAAACGGGGAGAGCAGGGTCTTACATTCTCCCTATTCCCCTTCTCTATATTACCCCGAAAGCGCCGGAGGCCCAGCCATCTCGCCAAGAGGAAGAAAGAAAGCCCCCCCGCCCCTTGAAATTCGATTTCTTTAAAACTGCTTCGGAGCAGCCACTTCTCCCCGCCCCGGCCTCTGCGCCTTGAGGCAGTCCCTAGTTAACGACCCACTTGCGTCACAAGCAGCGGCAGCAGCCCCTGGGCCCGGGGGCCCCCAGGGGCCCCTGGCCACTTCTGGGGGCCCCCTGAGGGTCCTCCTTGGGCGCTAAGTCCAGCCCCAGCCCCTAGAGAGACCCGCCTGCTGCTCCCCTAACCACAGGCGAGCTTGGGAGCTGCTGCTGGCACTGCTGTTGCTCTTCTTGAGCCCCATGCTGCTGCTGCTGCTGCTGCTGCTCTTCTTGCGACTGGTAACGCTGCTGGTGCTGGTGCTGCTGCTCTTCTTGAGCCTCATGCTGCTGCTGCTGCTGCTGCTGCTGCTCTACGCTGCAACAAAGGTCACTCGCACTGACGCTTTTCATAAGCTCTTCGTACATTTTTGTGACCCTCTGGAACTCCTTGGCGAAGTACAGCGCGTCTTTTGGCTCTGCTGCTGCTGCTGCTGCTGCTGCTGCAGGTGCTGTTGCCTCTACCGCTGCTTCGGGTGCCGGAACTGCTGCTGATTTTGCTGCTGCTGTTGCTGTTGTTTCCCCTGCAGAAGCTGCTGCAGGTGCTGCTGTTGCTGCTAACCCCTTCGGGCGACTCGACACCCTTTTGCGGATCATTTGGCTCTGAGGCCTTGCTGCTGCTGCTGCTGCTGCTGCTGCTGTGCTGCTGCGGGTACGGATTGCTGCTTGGGCAGCTGTAGGCGAGCTTCTGCCTCTATTGACGCCGCTGCTGCTGCTGCGGCTACGGCCCTCGGCGACGCCTCTGTCTCCTGCAGCAACAGCAACAGCAGCAGTAGCAGCAGCAGCAGCATTTGTATCGCCGCCTTTCTCGTTTGCTGCTTCTTTTCCGATTTCCTTCAGGTCTCCACTGCAACTTGGCTGCTCCCTCTTAACCAGACACACAGGCGCTGCTACGACTTTGCTGCTGCTGCTGCTGCTGTTGCGGCTGCTGCTGCTGCAGTTGTTGCTGCTGCTGCTGCTGATCATGTTGCTGCGGCGAGGTGAGCGGCTGCCGACACTTCTTGTTTCCAAAAGAGACTTCCAGTCAGAGGGCCGCAGCAGCTGGCTACAGTCTGCTGTTGCCGCGGTTGCTGCTGCTGTTGCTGTTGCTGCTGTTGCTGCTGCTGCTGCCGGGGGTGCAGCAGCAGGGCTGCACCACCCAGAAACGTATTTCGTTGACTTGCTGCTGCAGCCGCTGCTGCTCCTGTTGCTAGGGCTGCAGTTGCTGCTGGCGGGACTACTATTGCTGCTGCTGCTGCTGCTGTTGCTGCTGCTGCTGCTGGCGTTTCGTCCGCGCCTCGTCCTTGAGCCTCCTGTCTCCGCCGCCGCTCGCACAGGCAGTGGGCGGCGTCCGTCAGCAGCAGCAGCTGCAGCAGCAGCAGCGGCAGCAACATCAGCAGAATCTGTTGCTTCTGGAGGGCTTGCTGCCGTTGTTGTTGCTGCTGCTGCTGTGGAGTCTGTTGCTAGGGCCTTGCGGGCGTAGATGATATCTTGGAGTTCTGCTGCGTCTTTTTGCTGACAAGCAGCAGCAATTGCTGCTTCCAGCTGCTGAATCTCAGCAGCAATAGCAGCAGCAGCAGCAGCCGCTGTTGCCTTGCTGTCTTCCGGCGCAGCAGCAACTGCCGCTGCAGCAGCAGCAGCAGCCACCGCCTGCACGGCTCCAGCACAGCCCCAGCACTCCTGCTGCTGCTGCTCCTCCTCCTCCTCCTGCTGCCCCTTCTGCTGCTGCTGCTGCCGCTGCTGCTGCTGCTGCTGCTGCGTGCTGCGGGTCCAGTGGAAAACTGGGGCGAAGCGGCAAAGCGCTGAACGCGTGGGAATAAATCGAAGCGAAAAACTTCGCCGCCGATAGAGCGCCACTTTCGAAGCTGCCAGGGCTCTGAAGGAATTCAAAACAGAACGATTTGTGGCATTAAATGGCATTTAAATGGCATTTAAGTGGCATTTAAAAGGCATTTAAGTGGCATTTAAAGGGCATTTAAGGGGCATTTAAATGGCATTTAAGTGGCATTTAAAGTGGCATTTAAGTGGCATTTAAGTGGCATTTAAAGTGGCATTTAAATGGCTTTTGAATGGCATTTAAATGGCATTTAGGTGGTACTTAAATGGCATTCAAATGGCATTCAAATGGCATTCAAATGGCATTCAAATGGCATTCAAGTGGCATTTAAATGGCATTTAAGTGACATTTTAGCTAGCCAGCTGGCTA